TCTTTGTAAATAGGGAATGGTGGAGGGCGTGAAGGGAGAGCTAGGAATGGGGAAAAAATAAGAACCAAGATGCATCATGTAAAGGTACAAGTTCCCAATGAGAAACGTAATTGTGTTGTATTACCTAAAATGTACCAATAAAAGAATTTAAGAAAAAAAAACAGATGCTTAGGAAATTAGTAAAAAACACTTCTGAGTGTGTTGTGGAATGTTTCCAGAGTTGATTGACAGGCCGGCAGATGGGGGGGGGGGTGCCCTGATTATGGATGGCACTCACTCTCTAGTAGAATTTCAACCCAGGCAGAATGAAAAAGGAAAGAGGAGAAAGCCACTTTGCATTTGAAAAGCTCCATTATGCTTAAGCAGGTACATCTTTTGCTACTGCCATTCCCTTTGAACATCAGATTTTAACTGCTTTAGCCTTTCAACATAGATTCACACCGGTGACTCCAGGAAGCTTCCAGGCCTTCAGTTTTGAACTGACACTACATCCTTAATTTCTCTTTTTCTGAGGTTTCCACCTTCCTGGCCTGAGCAGATACTGGATCCTCTGGCTCTCAAAAACCAGCTTTTTGTACTAACATAGTAGAAAGATGCCTTGAGGGCATCTCAGGTATTGGCTAGACTCCACCAATGGCTGCTTCAATGAGGTAAACACCTTTGAAAGACTTTGCTTTAAGAAAGGAGCTGCAGGGTGCCCAGCTCATTCAGAGCTACTTAGGGAAGTGTTTCCCGAAATTCAGAGATCCAAGAAAACAGAAGCTGCATCCATGTAGTACTGGTTTTACAGGCATGCAAAATACGTGAGTTATAGGGTTATAGAGCCTTCCACCCAGATTTCAAAGAAAGATGTGGGAGACCAGTCAAAAATGTGTGACAGGATCTGATTCCTGCTGAGAATCCTCTGAGAGGAGAATCCATAAAGCTGTGAGAGTGAAGACAAAGGTACAGTAGAGACCCCAAAAAATGCAGATGCCAAAAAGGTGGGTCATTTGCCAAGGAAACCTGTAGGGAATGGGCAGAGCCAGCCACATGGGCTACAACAGAAAGACCATAAGGGCAGGACAGCCTAATCCCTTTAGAGCTTGCATCTTGCCACCATATGACTTAGATGGTGGACATGTAGCTATGGCATTTACTATTTGCCTTCTGGGTTTCAGTCTGCTTTGGTCTGATTGCTTTCTGTTCTCCCCATTGCTCCCTTTTGGAAAGGGAATGTTGCCATGGTATGTTGGAAATATTTAATTTTCTTTTACATTTTTACAGCTCAAAAGAGTTTGCCTTGAGTCTAAAAGGAGACTTTGGGCTTATAGTTTGTGAGCAATACTGAAACTGTTAAGACTTCAGTGACTCTTTAAGATGAATGAAATGTATTTTGCATAAGGAGATGGACATAAGCCTTATGTGGGCCAGTGACAGAATGTTACTTATTAGATCTAAAATGTTTCTCAGTATTCTAATGTATTCAGAAGTGGAGCTTGTAGAAGGTGATTAGATCATGGAGGAGTAGTATTCATTAGTGGTTACCCCAATGATGAGTTCATAGCTGAATGTGCTATTAGGAGGTATGGCATAGTTGGAAGGGGTAGGTTACTGGGGCATGCTGTGGAAAGGTATATTCTTGTCTGCATCCCCTTTCTCTTCTCTCCTTTCTCCTCTTTCTTACTCTCCATCCTGGCTGTCATGGGTTGCACACCTTTTCTCCACTATACCATTCCTACCTTAGAATCAGCTGACAGAATGAACTGAGAAGGGCATGATGTTTTGTTGTCTGCTTCCCAAAATGCATATTCTTATTTCAATGATGAAAATATGTCAGCCCAAACCAGATTGGGAATATTCTACACAATAATATTCTGCAAAATATTCTTCAAAAGTATAAGATCATAATGCATAAGAAAAGATGGAAGGACTTTTATAGGCAAGAAGAAACTAAGGAAGAATAACTATGTACAGTGTGGAATGATCCCAGAGAAAGGACCTTTACTGACACATTGGCAAAATTCTAGTAAGGTCTGTAGGTAAACTTTTCTTCTAGATAATTATGTCAGGTTATATAGGATGTTTCCTTTAGGGGAGGTGGACTGCAGGATGTAATCTTGACTTTGTGACTTTTTTCAAAATCTAAAAATAATTCAAAATTTAAAAAAAATAATAGTGTATACTTAGGCTATATTTTTAACTCAGCAACAATAAAAATTAAGGTAACTTATTGATGCTTCATGTTTCTTGCACCAAATTTTTGCACAATAATGTATATGCAGTTAGTAAAGAATAAATAGGTATAAAATGGTGAAATTTATTGGAACTATAGAAGTATAATTTTTCTCATTTGTATTTATTTCAATTGTGCTATATCATTATTGACACAGACAAAAGAAAAACATAGGACTTTTAAAAAAAAAACTGTTTGAATCTAAAGACCTCATAAAATTGGTTTGGTGACTTTACATGCCATATTTTCTTAACATAATTACCGCATTATTTAAAAGGTTTGACTTACCCTAACACATAGAACAATACACAGTTTTGGAAGTGTTTACTTAATTCAGTTGATTGAGAGAACTCTAAATTTTCTTCTTTACATGGACCATAGACATATTATATCTTATAAGCACATTCTCTGAGTCATCGTCTGCTGTGGCAGTGCTTGTACCTGTGTGTGTGGAAGATGTTATTATCTCCTAGTAAATATATTTACTTAGTAATTATGGAACTGGGTAAAAAGGTAGAAGACAAAAGAAATTTAAATTGGTTTGGACATATCTGTCTTTAACATCAAAACACTATTACTTACTTGACATGGTGAATTTAATACATGGATTTCTCATTGCCTTGAAAAGACTTTGCACCTAGAATTACACCAAACAACTGTAGTGGTGGTTGGCTGCAACAATATTTTATCGATTGTGGGATAGGTTTCTTATAGCCTTTTTTGTATTTGCTTGAAATATTGTATATAAGAGCAGTGCCTTGGGCATGCACAGTATAAGCTGAGATGCCCTGTGTTAACATAGAATTACTATTTGTTTTTACAGTCATGAGTCTATGAATCTATCCTGTCATGCAGTAGTGAACATTATAATGTAAGCACTTACTGTCTTACAGCAGCTGATTCCCCCGTGACACCCTTAGTGTTTGTCTGTGGAGTGCATTGAATTTCTAAATGGACTGTCAGATATTTCATAGGAAGCCAGTGACCCCACAGTGGACACACAGCCACTTTTGTAGCTCTGTAGCCAAGTTGACCAATAACTTATGTCCAATACTTAACCTTGAAATTCTTTTGGTCCAGAATGTTAAAAGCTTTTACTTTACATTTCATTATTTGTTTTTAATACTAACGTACCATAAATGTCTTTGGCAAAGCATATGGTTAAACAGATTCAGTGCTGTTGCTCAGGCTTTTTACGCACTGGTTATAATGCTCATATAGGAACTCATAGTGGTTTCGCAGTTCCTATTTCTTGGTGTCCATAAATTCAGGTCTTTAGTTTTTGCTTTATTTGAGAACAAAATTGGCAGTGGAACATTCAGAAATATATTCATAAGTTGTATGTTCTTCTCTAAAAGTGAGATACCTAAAGCCCCTGAAAACAATTTGAGGATTGTTTTACAGCAATATATTAATAGCTGTTTATACCTATTGTCTAAACTAAAAATCATCTTCCTGTCTCTGCTTGTCACAGATACAGCCATTATTAGTTAATCATGAGCAGCAGTCCTAAGAGAAGCTGAGAGAGACACCATGTTATAGCAACACATGACAGTTGTTGCTTGGTGTGCGTTATTACCTCCACTGGGGTAAACTGGTGGTGATCTTCAGGATGTTCATTTCCTTCTCTACTGTGATATGGTTCTTTTTTAGTGATATACTTAACTGTGGAAGAATAAATCCTATGAGATCAAAGCAGCTAGCTTTGAGCTAGCATGATCTCATAAATACCATACCAGAGAACTGTGCAGATATAAATATATGTATATACACATACATAATGACATACATATGATATATATATGTACATGTGTGAATCTTTCTTTACCTTATTTATTGTAGTAGAAGGAGAGGATAGAAGATAAAATTGCGTGGTCTTCATGCCATGAATTCTAGTGCCTTGAGGATTGTGCTAAATTCAACACTTTTTAATTCTAGTATATTTTCAGTTTTAGAAACACATCTAACCTCTGAGCTAGAAAGTGAGTTGAGATCATCAACTACTTATGATAATTTTTACATTTCAAAATCCTGTCTCTTGCCTTATGTCATCTTTTATCAATAAAATGCCTTTTCATTCATAGTCTGAAATTATGATTTATTATATATTCATCATGGTAAGTGAGGGATTAAAAGAGTGCAAGACATGTTTCTTCTCTGAAGAAGTTTACATTTTACATGGAAAAGATAAACATTAAATACTTGTAAGTGGAAATTAAATAGATGTTCTTGTTTTATTAGCAATAAAAAAGATGCAGAATAATATTTCCTTTAGTAATAATTATACTGCAATTTATTTAGTATACCCATTGTGCTTTATGTTTTGCATTGGAGGTCTTCTAAGTTTATGTTGAATCTGATTGACTGTGTAGATTTTTTTTAAAGTGTCAATACAACTATATTGATTGGATATTACCAGTGAGTAGTTGTCAGCCATTCTATATACCTGCCCACCTGAAGACTAATTAGGACTTTAACAAGCTGAGTTTGGCTTATCAGTCTTGTATTTTGATAAATGTGTTGAAGTGTATATCAGAAGGTTGATTCATCTGTGAATTTGAGAACTCATTCAGTAACAAATTTCCACAGATGTGTTGGTAAGTACATTTGTCATTTTTACTCTTCATTATATAGATAAAAATAGTTGATATCACACATTTTTTAGCCCTTTCTCTTTGTGAGTCCTTTTGTGATCATAAAATTATATGTAACTATCCTGGTTTTGCACAGTTGCAATATTAATGCAATGGATTTGCCCGTCCCCACTTTCCCTCCTGTTTTACAGGCAGTCAGATGCCACCTCAGCCACCTGGAAACCAGTCAGAATCCAGTTCCCATCCTGCCTTGAGCCAGTCACCAATGCCACAAGAAAGAGGTGAGTCTTCAGTTTACATCCTACCTGCCTATCATGCTTTGAGTATTTAAGGCTTACCTGATTCCTTATAAATGCATCACCTTATGATTCCTCAAAAAGTTTCTGTGTGTCCTTCATCAGATAAACAAGAACTCTACATAACAAAATGGAGAGGGTGGATTCTTTCATGTGGATTGGGTGACATTTTCCCAAAGTGCAGTTCAAGGGCCAAAGAATATGTCTCTGTGTAGCATGATGAAACAGAGTCTGGATGTAACTATAATCTGATTTGATCTACATATGTACTGATAACTAAATATGTTTCAGTTTGGACATTGATCCCATTGAAGTAAATTTTTAAAATGTATGTGTGCACGCACATGTTTTTGCTGTTTTGACCAGCCACTTGTTCCATCACATTTAATAGTAAAATTATAAACTCACTGCAAGACCTTAAGATTTAAAATTGTAAGGTCTTTGAACTGGAGCCGACCTGAAAGATCACAGTGCAGCTATCTCAGTTTGCAGATAAAGAAACTGAGACCCCTAGAAGTTGTCATGACCTTCCTCCTTCCCAGAAGCTAGTATCTGAGCCAGAAAAAAGAACTTGAGATTTTCCTGAAACTTTTGAACAGATGTTTTCCCACACCAGCAGACTTGCTGCACTTCAATCAGTGCTGGTAAAGCTTTTCTTGGTGTTACGTAGGTGATGGTGGTGATTGTAATCCAGGCTAGTGTAGACCAGGGCTCCTGTACCATCTGTGGTGCTGCAGCAGGTCACTTCCCATGGCCTGTGGTTTAAGGCCTGCCCACCCTGTTCCTCAAGAGATACCATTTTCCTCTATGTAGATTTGGAAGCCAGACCATGCCAGCTTGGTGACTGATACTAAAATGATTCTTGATCCCTGATATTTATGGTTATTTCTATAAGAGTGGTAAAAATGATATAATTTGCTGCTTATTAGAATTATGAGATCTAAGGCTGGGTGTGGTGGTGCACACCTGTAATCCCAGCACTTGGGAGGCTGAGGCATGAGTTCAAGGCATGGGAGGATTGCCATGAGTTCAAGGCCAGCCTGAGCTACATATTGAGATTGAGGCTGGCCTGAACAATGTAGAGAGACCCTGTCTCAAAAAAAAGAATTACGAGGTCTAAGTTATTTCACATGTTAAAAACTCAGCAGTGTTTCAGTTAGCAGTGCCAAAGAAAAGGTGGTCTTACCTATACATCATTTGTGTTGACATGAATATTTAATAAGGATAAAATTAATTTTTCATTTTCTCATAACTTATTTAACTTTTTAATTGTAATTTAAGGTATAGTTAATACTTTCATTCCTTATCAAAATGATATGATTTGTTTTAATCATGAAATAGTTAATGTATTGCAAACTTTATAGTATATGCAGGTCACACACAGGGCATATTAAAGCTTGTTGCTGGCCTGCGTGGATTCCAATAGAAAGGCTGAGCTGTGACATTTAAACTCTGCATTTCTAACAAGCTCCCAGGCACTGCTGATGCTCAAGGTTTGAGGAACATACTTTATGAAACACTGCCTTATCACTATTCTCTTAACAGTCTCAATATTGTGTGAACATGAGCATTTGTTTCTCTAAGCCCTCTCCTGCGACCTGCTATGTGTCGCTCTGTAAGTTGCTCCTCTACATCAGCTTCTCCTGTGGCTACAACCATCTGGAAGACCTTACACAAATTCATAGAGAGCTTACCAGTGCTACACTCAGGAGAATTGCATACACTCTGTTTCTTTGGCTGTGGGGTGCCTTCTATGCATTGCTGGCTCCTGGAGGAGGAAAGAAAAGGAAACTCCTGCACTGAATGCTTGCTCAGGCCAGACCTAGAGCTGGGAATATTTGTCATTTCATTAATCCCTAGTGTGGCTCTTTACCAACACTCACGCTGATGTCACCTGTGTGTCAGGGTAAACAGTTCCTTGGCAGGAAGCTCTGCAGTGTTAACCTTAAGGAAGTGCTAAGAAGGCCAAAAAGGAAACCTCTTCCTGCCTCCAACAGCATCTTTCCAATCCTTATAGCTGATAGGGGTCAAGATTTGAAAATGTAGAGAAGCAAATATGAAGGGCAGGATATTAATGCACTTTAAAGGCAAAAATCTAGGCATTTCCACTAATGTAACTTCATAGAAATTATCATGTTTGTGAATTTCTTCCTCTTATAGCCTTTATTACATGTAGTATGATTTAAGGCAACATGACAGATATGTAACAGTCTGGGTGATTATTATGACCATTTTCTTCAAGAGGCAAATATTAATTTTATAAGCTGCTAAATCTGAATTGATTTTTACAAATATTTCCCTAAACCTTCTCCAAAAGACTGTGCCTAAAGTGTATGTACACTCTATTTTGTGCTTCCTATTGGTCAGTCAACCTCCTAAAAAGCAAAACTTCATATTTTCAAATGACTTATAATCTTAAATCATGCATTGCCATACATGAGTTAAATGTCCTCTGAAAGTGGGTAGCAAAGGTGAAAACAAAGTGACTATTATTTGTGCAAATTTAGAAGAAATGTTAGTTCCTAATATTTGATACAATATAAAAAGACTTGTTTTACCATCATTTGATGTGTACCAACCAGCATACCTGGTAGTTGACAGATCAGGTGAAATCATAGTTTCTCTGTTACTCAATGCTGAAGTAACCAAGTCAAACAGTTCCTTTTACATTTACTTTATTTTAACAAACAAAATGAAGATAGTAAGATTCCATAGTGTACTCATTTTCTTTAATGTATCAGAAGATACATTTTCTTTCATGGCAAAGACAAACTCACTTTGACACAAGCCCACCAAACAAGAGGTGATGTACTACTGTATGGGGGTCCAACCCAGTATCCTCATGGGGCCCAGTGGTGTTGATTTTGCCACCCTGGAGCTAGTTCCCTCCAGGCTCAAGCAGCTGCATTCATGCTCTCTTGTCATTTCTTTCTGCTTGGTTCCTGTTGTACCTACTCAGTAAGAACATACATTATAAATTATATACTCGGTGTAAGAGTTTCACAAACCTCATACTGTCCTGGGATCTGAACTACCATTGGTATCTGTGGCCAGTTTGGTGCCCGTATACCCTGAATAATACTAAGAGGCTCTCCAAGCCCTGCAATCCCCACCCCACCCATCTCTAATTCAGTAGCCTTTTGCCAGGTAGTTCTGCTATTGAGTCTCATCAGAGGACATCAATCACCAATCCATTCTTCACACTGTACATAGATGAAAACAACTGTAAGTTTCTACAGCTTTATATTTATCATACATTTAAGGTATTTGTATGAGTAAATATGGATGTAGCATTGAAGGTTACAAAAAGGAGAGAAACACTTCAGATGTTTATTGGCCTGTTTATTTCTTTGTGTAGTGTTGTCTCCTTTACATTTTCACCTATTTTCCAATATAAAACTTGATTTGGTACTTTTCTGGTAGAACCTTTTACTAACTGGGCCAGGGATGTAGCTCAGTGGCACCTTGCCTGCCTGGCAAGTGCAGGGTCCTGAGTTTGATCCCCCATACCAAAAAAAAAAAGAACATTTTACTAACTGAATAAAGTAAATTAGTTCAAATTATTTAGTCTTCATTACTGACATAAATTTAAAAGAAGAAAAGTCAAAACTTCAGTTTAGTATTCTATAGTAATACATTTGCCATTTTGTTCTTATTGTGAATCAAATCTTCTCTCTCTAAACCTCATATAACATCTGACAAAATTGCTGTTAAAATCACCTCACTAAAAAATTAAATAATATAAATTTGGCTACTTAAGCATTGGAGGAACAGTAACAATAACCATAAAATACTAAAATAAATTTTAGAAGAAAATTGTAGTGAACAAGTTTAGATTAGTTTTACTCCTCTTAATCTTTAACATGTAATTCTTACAATTCAAAATAGAGCCATAGGAAATGACTTATTAATACATTTCTCTGTTATTCAACAGGGCTTAGAGGAGTATCCGAGTAGATAAATAAGTATAATAATTATTAACGTTAAAGAGATCACATTTTTAACTCCTGTAACATGTTAAGCTTAATGAAACTAGCAAATGTCCCTCTGGTTTATTGGATTTTAGGTGAAAATGCTGAAAGAAGGCTTATTTATTGACAGATGTAAAGGGATCAGAATTAATTTTTTGAAAACCTATTAATTGAATTCCCTTTTCATTTTCACAGTGGTGTCTAATTAAATATTCATGTTAATGTTGGTGGCTTTCCGAAGGTCTCATCTAGATCTAGATTCTCAAAATCAACACAGGTTGTTTAACCCTTTTCATCTAGTACACCAGCAGGGACTTCCTGAGCTAATCCCACAGTGTTTGAATAATTAGAAGGTAGTAATGAGGATTTAATTAGTCCTTCAGATAGGCTAGAACAGAATCCCCAAGAACTTTCCCTCTCGGACATAAATTGTGAGAAGAACTGATGCTGCTGCGGGACTGTGATGTGCTAGGAAATGTATTCTGTGCTGTAGGCAGTTCTTTGGCACCATTCTGTAACCATCAGATCTCCACAGAGACTTCCTGGGTGAAGTTTTCTGGAATTGTTGAATAGCAACACAAGGTCTTGATTTCTATCCCCCTTGCCAGCTACATGAGGACCTGTCCATTTGATGGGCAGGTTGACTGTGCCTCTTGGGAGTTGATTGTTACTCTATCTGTGGTACCAAAATTAGTCAAGCTGGACAACTTATGTTTTCCCCCCATAATTTGTGGAAGGACCAGGAAAAAAGGAGATAACAAAATTTTGCATTTTTATAAGTTTCAGGTACTTTGTCCAACCATATAGGGTCCTTGATAGCTGTTTGTCAATAGACTCACAAACACCTTTGGAATCTAATCTTCACAGTGATGCTTATCAGTAACTGCATTTTTTTTTTTTTTTTTGGTACAGGGGATCGAACTCGGGTCCATGTGCTTGCTCAGCAGGCGGTGAAACCACTGAGCTAAATCCCGGGCCCCATAACTGCATTTTTATAAAAATAAGTAGTGCTGT